ATCCATTAATGAGATGTATTTTAAAAATAATGTCCTAATGTGTAGGTATGAACCGGTCTAGTTGGGAGGCAGCAACATGGTGCATAATGGTTTTCTCGAATGGGAATCCACGATTGTACGCATTTGGCAAGTAAAAATCGACAAGACAATTACATTTTTCTTTATTTTATCTTTTCTCTCCACCGTAAGCATCTACAATTGACTATTTTTAAGACAACATCAACTGCGACTATTAACGTTATTTTATGAGAAGGTTTTGTACTTTCGTTTATGATATACAATTCTCTTTATACCACATTGCCTCGACTTGGGATTGAAAATTTTAATTAAATACTTTAGTGATTGTTAGTTAAATTGTACTAAAATGGGAAATAAAGAAATTATATGCCGAGTGAAGTGATTTCGAGAAGAATTCAAGAATTTAAATTGCTCGTGGAAGGTTGACTAGTTCGGGTGTTCTTCATTTCCTTGACCCTCCAATACCCCTCGTACGCTTTAACAACCAAAACTAAAGTACAACAAACGACACCAAAACTAAAAAAGGATAGAAGGTCCATTCACTTANACAACAAACGACACCAAAACTAAAAAAGGATAGAAGGTCCATTCACTTACCACACCTAGCTTTCTAACCTCAATGAGCATATTCATGTGAAATAAGACACTCCTCTGTCTTCTTCTATTCATTCCTTTTTGCAAATAAAACAACCAAAATGCCTATGGCAATAGTTTTTGCAATGCACGAAACGATCACGACGCAAGATCTTATTAATAACATGAAATTGTATGCATTTTGAGTAACTGGTTTGAAAGGAAATTCAATTGCTTGTTGAGAATTGTCCGATTCTCCACGAAAGATGCAAGGAATTAGGCTATAATGGATTCTAGTTCACGACAAAAGATCTTCTAAACAGTTCTTTTCTTCAACAAACGTCAAGTTGTGTCAAGATGGGGATCGAGTTTAAAAAGAAATTTTGAAAAATTAAATTTAATATTGAATAGAAGCATTTTGCCCACCCAACAATCCTTCGTACGACATCTCATTAATGGCTGTTTCAATTTTTTTAATTTACATTAATAGGACGACTTACCAACTGTAATTTTGGTAACGACACCATTTTCAAACCCTTCCCCCGAAACGCCGACTAACAAGGATTTGGGTTCTTCTTCTTCGCACATAACACTATCAATGGAAAGCACCAAAACAACCAAATGAAAAGTTTAAAAATCCGGCCGTAATCTTACCTCGTCACCGGTCCGGAGTAGCGATTACCAATGTCCACTGCCGGATGAAAATATGACCAAGATGAAATATCTTTTATGGGAATGATATTATATTTAAGACATTAGAGAGAGAACCTGTAAGAAGCTGCGTTTTCCATGGAGGTATCTGCAATCAATATAATATAAAGAGAAA